GGTTTTCTGTGAAACAACAAAACTGTTTCTCTATGTGAGTGACAAACATCCACCAAGTTCCTCTTACCTAGTCTAGTAACCGCTGTGGCTTCAGACATTGCAGTGTTTGTCTCTGTTTAGTTAGGGTTGCCTAGGGAACAAAGTTGTGATGTGGGGCACGTTTTTCCCCCCTTTTCTTATAAGGACTTGATGACCAGAGAGGTTGGGCTCTTTCTGGGCTATTTTCTGAGTTTTCATTTTCATCTGTTGGTTCTTGTTGGAAATTGGGTGTGAGAAGTCTACAGATGAGCTGAATAGTCAAAAGGTCCTTCAGCTTGCTTTGAAAGTTGGGAGGTGAGGATTGGGAATGAGTGGAGAGCTGGATGAGGGTGGGGAAATGGCTGCCTGGGTGGCTTCAAACATTCTGGTCTGCACTTTGTATTTGATTCTGCACAGCGAGATCACTACACTCCATGACCAAAGCGGCCAGTGTAGATGATGAATTTGGCAGCATAAAGAGAGGTTAGGAGCCAGTGGGAAAACTGGAATTTGGAGGCCAGCAAACATGGCTTTGAATGATCTGAATAGAGTTTTGGTGATTGGAAATGAACAGGCCACCATGTATGGTCTTTACAGAAAAAGAAACATATCATTTTGATTCTGTTTGGACATGCTTGGAACAGGGGAAGGAGACAAGACATCTTGGTCACCTTGCGGTTTGTGGCTTGAGAAAAATGGGGTTCTGTTCAATTTCAAGTGGCAAAAGGATCGTTAGACAGGCTAGAGAGAGTTAACATTGGAGTTCCTCCCATAGGTGTGACCATCTCTCTTGTGAGGAACACAGTGGACTTAGAACACAACTCTTGGTCCAGGGTGGGTCCCCCTTGGGGTGTGGTAGAGGAGACACTGAAGAATGATCAGGCAGAAGATCCGAGAATTGGCAGAACTCCAGGCGTCAAAGACAGGAGGTTGGGAAGAGAATGATGGGTGATAATGAACCCTAAGAGGCTAGCCGGAGTCAGGATCCTTAGAATTGGTCCTGCCCATGAAGGTCGTGGGTTTTGTGAGAGGACTTTCTGTAGTGACAAGTGGAGCAGCAGGGATTGGAAGTATCTTTCCTGGGGAGAGTGGGTATTGTACTGCTCTACACCCTTTCTTAAGGCCCTCTTAGTTCCTTTGCCAAGGTCAATGGCCATGTGGAGACGGGTGTTAGAATGCATTAAATGACTTTGACAATGTTTCAGAAAAGGGAAGAGGCCCATTCATGTTTATTTGGCTCTCTCCTTGCTCCCTCACATGTCAGTTCTGTCCTTTTCCTTTGGACCTTCTATGAGTAGCCTTCCTCCCAAATCATCCCTTCATACTGAGGTTGCATGTTCATAGTCATCCTAGAGGAACTCCCTAAATCATGACCACTCTGCAGCGAGATGGAAGTTTGACTCTCATTTGATCATAATAACTGTGGGTCTTTCGGCAAGTCACTTAAACTTGCTGAGTTCTCAGCTTCCTCATCATGGTGTTGTTAAGTGCCTATGAGTCGGTTTTGACCCATAGCGACCCTGTATAGGGTTTCCAAGGAGCGGCTCGTGGGTTGAACTGCTGACCTTCTGGTTAGCAGTCAAGTGCTTATCCTACAGCACTGCACCAGGCCACACCCTTTCTTATCATTGAATGAGAGCAAAGGGCACTTACTTCATACGGTGACTGAGAGGGCTAGAACATGAGTGGAGCATAGGCCTGACACTTAGTGGGTGTTCAACAGGTGTTCAGTAAGTCAAACAAAACCCCACCCCCACCACCACTGCGTGAGGAGTCCCTACTTCCCAGTCCACCCGTTTGTACTGAATAAGACTCCAATTTTATTTTTAGAAAAAAAAAAGAGCAACGTTTATTGAAATTTCAAGCTACATTTGGAAAAATCCAAATCCTGGAGACAGACATCAGGATAAGGCGTCAGAAAATGGAAAGTGTTCACTGCTACCGAACCCCTCCCCGCCCCCAGCTTGGAGGGAGCCAAGCTACCTGAGTGTATCACCCAGGCACCATCAGGTCAAAGCCATTCCCGTGTCTACAACAGGACACCATTGAGTTATTCACTCTGATCGCTTGAAAGTTTTCCACAATAATAATAATAATAATAACAATAAAGTGTTTAAATGGCACTGTGAAGTCCAAGCAAATCTTCTCTCAACCCCATTCTGTTAGTCAGCACCAGTGAATGGTGGCTTTGGCGTTCAGAAGAGGACTTCACGTGCCTTCAATGGACAAAGGGGGAAAGGGTTGCAGCAGCAAGGCATCCACGGCCTCATCCCGAGGAGGCTGGCCCCCTCCCCTGCCTTTTATGCTTTCGGCTTACTTAATCTAGAGGACAAACTGGATCAACTTGGTAAATGAACACAGTCAAACGATTAGCCTTAAGAGACAAGGGACCCGTCAATACTCCCAAAGCTGGTTAGTCCCTTCAACATGTAGGTGTATGTGTATATGAATACATCGCTACACTAAGATATAGATCTAGCCCTATGGATATATATACGCATTTATGGCTATATAGAAAAACTATGCCAATACTAACCAAACAGAACTTTGTAAGCGGTCATCCCAAAGCTGTAATCCCACACTGGGCTGTGCACAAAGCCATGCATTATACCATATTAACCAACAGAAGGCTGATTTGGCTGCATCTCTCCCATCTGTTCCCCCTGCCTTTGCAAGGCAGGTGAGAAGAGAGAGGTTGCCTCTGCTTAAAACACAAGTGGCTTCTTCAGAGGAACAGTTGTCTTGTGAAACTGTTGAAGATGTCCATGGAAATGAAAAACAGACCCCTTATACTTTCTGGAGCAAACTGGCATCTCAGCTGAAACTACCTCTCTCCTTTGCCAGTTGCAGCTAAGTTGTCCAGACCCTGGGTTCCCCTAGGGTGTGGTGGTATTAAAGGCTCACTGGGTTGGGGTGATTAAGCCCCATGCAACTCAGCCTCCAGAGACCTGCTTTTTGTCAGGGGTCTGTCACTAGAGTGGACCCAGGTGGTCATGTCCTTGGGACATCTCTTGGCACCAGCTATGCTAGGTGTAAAGTTCTCCACGTGAGATGACGCTTGGGGAGCCAAAAACAAACTGGAAAGAACTAGGTAGAACAAATTTAGTGGCTCTGCCCACCGTAAGGACAGAGCCACTTACACCGCAGAACCACCGGGAGCCTCCGGTGTTTGTGGGGCCTCAGGTGTTGGCTCTTCCGGGCTCAGACGGGACTGGAACTTCTCTAGCTGCTCTGGGCTGGCCAGCGTCTTCAAAAGGGTGTTCTCGCGCTCCAGCTGGGAGTTCTTTTCCACCAGGTCTCGGATCTGCTCCTTCAGGATCTCCACCTCCTCTCTCACAGCATACATCAGATGGTTTTTCACTAAATCCTGCCATAGAGGAAAGAAGAATCCCCAAGCCATTCCTTAACCAGTTACAACCACTCTGAAGCAGCTCTGCCAATTGGTGTGCCTGTGCAGAGCCCCGATATTGACGCCCTCTGGGAGACCTGGTGTGGTGCTGTAGGATGAGCACTGGACTGCAAGGTTGGTTTCAACCGCAAGGTGAGTGGTTCAAACTCACCAACCGCTCCTTGGAACTCCTATACAGGGTCGCTAGGAGTCGGGCCCAACTCAACAGCGCTTAACAACAGCCTTCCCATTGCAGCTCCTTAGCACACTGCCTCTCCAGCCCTGTTCCTCAAACCCCTTTCTCTGGCACTTTAACCCTCATGTGGGAAAGCTGGATCCTTTGGGACAAGCCTGAGGTGGAATTCCTTGAAACTAGATAGGTCTCCCACCCCCAAAGTTTCTTCTAATGGCTTTCAAAGCTAGCTGCTTAGGGGCCTTTGGAGTGAGCATGTTGCTGGTGGTCTGTGACATTCTCATTATATAATATCATTATACAATATCAGGCTCTGAGGCTGACCCGGCTCCCAGGGAGGACCTGTAACTGCTTGTCTGCTTAGAAATCTTCAGTGAGAGAGAATAAAATAGGCTTTAGGAGTCTCTTCCTTCCTCTGACCCACGCTGCTGGAGTCTGCAACTGTCTTCAGCAAGGCCAGACAGGACACTGGGCCTAGGGGAAGGCCAAAGGGGGTGGCTGCATCCTCCCTGAATATAATGTCTGCACTATAGGCAGGCAACTGTCAGTAGGTTCCAGGGCACAATTAACCAGCTGCTAAGTACTGTTGTTAAGGACCTCTGGTAACATAGTGGTTACAAATCGGGTTGAAAACCTTAAGGTCAGCAGTTCGAAACTACCAGCTGTTCCTTGGGAGAAAGATGAGGCTTTCTGCTCCCATAAAGATTTACAGCCTCAGAAGCACTGTACAGGGTCTCTAACAACAACAAGTACTGTTGTTGGTGTTGTGTGCCGAGGGAGGAATTGGCTCTGACTATTAGAGACCCTGTATAGGGTTTCAAAGAGTGGTTGGTGGGCTTGAACTACCAGTCCAGTGCTTTTCCCACAGTGCCATACCAGGATCCTGCTAACTGCTGTTGTTGTTGTATATCTTTACGGGAGCAGAAAGCCTCATCATTCTCCCACGGAACAGCTGGTAGTTTCCAACTGCTGACCTTGCGTTTCACAGCCCGATTTGTAACCACTACGCTACCAGAGCTCCTCAACTGCTAGAAGCCCCAAATCCCTGCAGTCGTGTTGGCGGCTGGTGTAGTCAGACCTCTACTTCGTGGAGAGGATGCTATGCTTCCTGTCTCCTCCCAACTCCTGACCCCAGCCCAGGCTCTGCAGAGGCACTGCAGTGCCGTTGCATCCAATGAGCTCTGCCCCCTGCCAATTGCCGGACTGCAGACATATGCAGGTCCCTGAGCTCAGACCGCTGTGGGGCCAGGAGGGGAACCAGAAGCTGCGGGAAAGCCCTGAGATGTGAAGGGAGGGGGCAAAAGAGGAGCCGGTAAGGGTAGGGTGGAAATGTGCTCAAAGGTGCCACACTAGCCAGACTGTACTTGGGGGGGGGGGATGGGAAGCAGGCTGAGGACTTACTTCCTCAAGCTCTTGTGCCCACCCCTCAGTCCTGCCCCAAGTTATATAAGCAGCAGCATGGAGTTCTGGGGATGGGATGAACGCAATGAGGGACACTCACCATGGCCTGTTCAATCTTGTTGTCTAAGGCCACCACACTGGCTCCGGAGGCACTGCCAAGAAAAAAGCAAAGTGACCACGTTATCCACTCATTCTCACTCTGAGTAATAGCCGGTAGCTGTAGCCAAAGTCCTCCACCTGCCCCAGCTCTTCTTCTCTCCCGCTTTCCTGGATCAGGGTGCTCGGCAATTTGTCCTCAGGCCCCTTCCTGATCCCTTCCGGAAGCTGCACCTCCCCACCCAGGCTGACTCCAAGCCGCCAGCGCCGCCCGCCCCGAGTGCTAACTAGAGCTGCACTGGAAACCGGGGTGGCTCAGCCCTGGTGATGTGCAAACAATGGAAGACTAGCGGTCCAGGGTCTCGGCAGCTTACTCAACCCAGAAGATGGCGGGTGAACCTACCTGGCTCTGAAGCTAACTAGGAATGGCTGTATGGCTGGGAAGCTGCCTGCCTGGCCTCCTCAGCGGCCCGAGGCGAGCCCCTTGCCCAGCCTTATTGTCCCTGCCCCGCTGCCCCTCTGCAGAGGCTGCCTCTGCGGCTGCAGCAGCTCCTTCTCACCGCGCAGGGGCCGCAGGGACGCTCAGACGGCGGATCCCAGCGCGGCGGTGACCCTCCCGCCCCCGGAGGCGTCCCAATCCCCCGCCCCTTCCCAGGATGCTGCACCGCGGGGAGCGGAGACCAGCTGCACCGCGCTGGCTCCGAGATCCAGCTGGAGGCCCGTCTCCCCGGCTGCACCCGGCTCGCCTCCGAGAGGGGCTGGGGCCAGTGATTACCTGTTATCCAGCTTAACGGAAACCACATCTCCTCCAAGCAATGAAGAGAAAAAGGAGATGGAGAAATTGCGCAGCTGATAGACCGCCACCTCCATGGGGGTCTGATACATTTCAGTATTCATGGCTTTGGGCGGCGGGGGAGCTCAGGGCCCGTTGAGGGCTGGGTTGGGCTGGGCTGGGTTTAGGCGGGCTGGGCTCTACGAGGCCGGCCTGGGGCTAGGAGTGGGGCGCAGGCTGCAGAGGGGACCCCAAATGAGGCAAGCGCTCCAGCTGGAGTTGAAGGGAAGTGACTCGAAGGGTGTCACCTAGTGTGTCACAAACTTCAAGGCCTCCAGTCCAACCCAGACTCGAAGATATTTCTGCTCCTGCTTCTTTATATAGGAGGAGCCGGCTGCGTCACGAGGCGTCAGGGGCCATGCAAATGAGTCCTGTAGCGGGCTTTGTGGCCCAGTTAAACCACATCCCCTCCCTGAACCTTCGGCTGGAACTGTAAACAGTTCAGCACTTTCTTGTGCCAACTGGCATCCCCAAAGAGGGCTCGGGAGCTTGCTAAAAACCAAACTGGAGCTGACCCTAAAAGATTGCTGATTTCTCGACAAATAAAAAAGCACAAATGCCCTAATAGGAGGTAGAAACATTCGTAGAGGGCGGCGCTGGAACAAGTATTCAAAGGTTTTGGTGTGGTAGCCAGCACCATCCCTGGACACCCACTCCCCAACGTCAGGAGCCTCTCTTTTTCCTATTGTCTGCCCTCAGCTTCTCTCCTGGCACCCAATCAGCCATCCCCTCACCCAGTTACCAGCCTGCCCCAAGCCCTGCACTAATCCACTGACCTTCTATTAGCGCAAGAGTGAATTGTGCATGCATATGAATGAAGGAGAGAGCGTCCAGGAGCTCAGGTGAATGCATGAACATGTAAATGGGAGCAGTTGAGGTTAGGTGGGTATCAGAGGAGGTAGGGAGGAGAAAATTCTCAAATGTATTGCAAAGAAAACACATTCAGCATCGTCCAGAATCTCATGCCCATGTCGTTTTAAAATTTAAAAAACAAAACAAAACAAAAAAACCTTTCACATGAACAGCAAATGACAGCAAAAACACAAACCAAGGCTATATATAAACCATCCAAAGACATTCTTCTGAAGGGGGTCCAACCATATCATAGGAGGGTTGGTCCTTCAGGTAAAAAACAAAACAAAAAACAAAACATCAAACAGATTCAACGGCACAAGGGACGCGAAGAAATTAGTGTAACCTAATAAGAGCTGCGTCTGTTTCCATCAAAAATGTATTTTCATCCTCAAGCTTAAAAACAAATAATAATCATAATAATAATAACTGGTGGGGGGAAGCATGCATGAAGTCCTTTTCTCCTGCTGCGTCCTTGTCCTTAGTGAGTCCACCTGGTGGACAACTGCAGAATTACAGTCAGAAGGAGCAACCTGGGCAGGGCAAGAGGACAGGTGATGCAACTAGGAGTATTATTTACACCAAAAACCCCGGGGTCATAAGGAGAACATTGGGTTCCACCACATATATAATAGTTTGGATGAGTCTAAGGCCAATGATCCACAGGCCCTGGTCTTCTACAGCAATACACTAATGCAATCATGATATTGGAAAAGTACTAGGGCCTCTTATCAGCAAACAAGGTAATTATTATCTGCTTCAGTATAATAATCCTAACCAGGTGCCTGGCACTGACACCCTGGCCAAGGCCCCAGCCAAGCCCAGTATGAAGGCCTTGATTTTCTCCAGGTCGTCTGTGCAGTTATGCCACCGAGCAGCCCACATTTTTCACTAGGACTTGGGATTCCTGTTGGATCTACTTGGTGGTAACACATGCATAACAGCCATTCTGTTTGTAGAGGGCTGACAAATAGAACTATCCAAGCAAACCTACTGCACTAGCCTAGCATGTTTTCCTTTGCCCCAGTTATAGGTGGGCAATGATTTAAATCTTCAGACATTCTGTTAACACTAAGGTCATAAACTCTCTGACCATGAAGTTTGAAGTAAGCAGTGTGGTCTAGTCAGAACAAAGTGCTGACTATGTCTATATATCATCAAGAATACTCACTGAGAAAAAACACTTCTTAAATGAGGAGATCAATTGATATTGGAATTCCCTAGTATGCCTTCTATGACACATACAGGAGTCCTGGCGTTGCACTGCGGGTTAATGTGCTGGACTGAAAGGTCACTTTGAACTACAAGGTTGGCGGTTCAAGCTCACCAGCTGTTCCTCAGAAACCCCTATACAGGGTTGCTATAAGTCGGAACCAACTGGACAGCACTTAACAACAGCAACATGCCACATAGGAGCTTTCTTGGTCCAGAAATCTCTGAAGTGATCTTTCATTACTTTGTAAACACTTCCCAAACTAATAATGGCTATTCACCAAGATTCTAAGGGAGATGATGAGAAGAAAAGGGAAAAGAGACATACGCTGGGATGGTGGGTACCTAGGTGGGGGTGGGGGATGGAACACTGCTGGGAAAATAGGACACAGAACAGAAAATAAAAGACAACTTATCACTGCCAGCAAGTTGATTTGACTCATGGCGACCTATGTACTTCACAGTAGAACTATGCTCCATACTTTTTTAAAAATGTTTTATTGTGAATGATGTGATAGTTTACATGGGAGAACATTAGCTTTACATTCATCCTATCGTATATCGTTTCATTGCCATGGTTACAATCCCTCCATGCATCATCAACCAACCAAAGGGTATACACTGCAAGCCTGCGGCCCCTACCCCCCCCCCCAGCATCAACAAACAGCCCCTCTCCCTCTCTGGGTCTAGAGTCCCCAGCCGCTCCATCTTTCCACGTCATCATCTCTGCCTCCATTTCTGGTGTCACTGCTTCTCTGGGTAGGGTCCAGCTCTCCATTCTTCTCCCTTGATGGTCCCAGGGACCTCCAATCCTAGACTGCAAAGTCAACCACTCCCCTCCTTTTGCTACAAAATGTCTACCTTTACATTTCCAACCCTCACAGTCAGTCCTGATAACAATTATTCACTATTGTATCGCAAGAGACCTATCCCCATCTCCTTTCATCAGCCTGGCCCAGACAGATTGGATACTACTCAGTGGAGATTTTACCTTCCTCCACGCCCTCTGGATCTAAGCTCCGTCTTGAAAGCTTGTAGGCCCATCGCTTCTTGCCTTTGTAGCTCCCCCCACCCCCATTTTGGGTAGCCAATGTCCAAGTTGCCCATCCCTGTCTACTCTGTGTATGGAGGACGTGGGAATGATCCTTGCTGTAAAGATTTGTTCTCTCTTTTGAGCTACTGCATCCATAGATGTAGGTCAAGTTCATCAAATTGTATCAGATTACTCTTTTTTCTTCTTCTAGTTGAGCTCTGATCATCTAGTCATTGAAGCCAGGTCAAGTGGGTATTATCTGCAAGTGTGGGTGTTCTTATGCATATGCCCTCTCTTCTAATTCACTGGATACTTCAGTCTCCACTCTAGTCCTCTGTGGCTATGTCACTGACTCTGGGCCCAAGAGTCCCCAGGTCTTGCCACACTGCTGGCCAACCAGGTCTCCACTCGGGTTCATAGGAGTCTATTGAACATTATAGGGCTTAGCTCGCAGCTTCATTGCTGTTTTTCCCTCACTTACCCTTATCGGTGATGAATGTGGTCACCAGTCAGAGCGTGTATTCCCATTGAGTCTTAGTTATGGAAGGGGATTTGCCCTGAAGGGACCCGACCACTTGGCTTGATATCTCCTGGGCGAGCAAACTTGTTCTTGTAGTAATCCGTCGGACTGCCTTTATTGTTTTATATTTTTCCTGTCGGTCTTTCTTTCAAGAAGTATCTTCTGTTCTTCTAGCCGCTCCAGGCTGGTCTGCTCCATAGGGGTTTGTTGTTGTTGTTGTGTTTTTTAAATGTTTTATTGTGAATTACGTGATCGTTTACATGGGAGAACATTAGCTTTACATTCATCCTATCGTATATCGTTTCATTGCCATGGTTACAATCCCCTCCATGCATCATCAACCAACCAAAGGGTATACCCTGCAAGCCTGCCCCCCAGTCGTCAGCACACAGCCCCTCCCCCTCTCTGGGTCTAAAGTCCCCATCCGTAGGGTTTTTAAATGCTGATTTTTCAAAAGTAAATTGCCCAGCCTTTCTTCCAAGGGACCTCTGGGTGGACTGAAACCTCTAACCTTTCAGTTAGCAGTCAAGTGCTTAAGTAATTGCATCACCCAGATACTCCATGTCAATTAGACTTCAATGGAAAAGTAAGCTAAGCTTGAGCCCCA